AACACTGATCTGATTTCATGTCCAGCTTAATTATTATTTGCAATCTAATAACTGAAGACGTAGGCATTCTTGACCAAATTATGATGTTGTAATCTTCTGAAATTTGTAAAATCTCACCACGAAATGGCATTTCAGAGACTGAATTTCAAAATTTTCCTGGGGGAACATGACCCGGACCCCCTACAGTGCCCCCTTTGTGTCCAACTTGTCCCCCCCCCCCTACTTTGTAAACCCTGGCTACGCCACTGGAGTAGACAGTAGACTGCTTTCAGTTTGAGGTATATATCCTGTATAACTAAAATTAGGTTGGTTGTGTAGTTCAATGATTACCTCGACTCCATGCCTTTCTTGGTATTGTCCTACAAATCCCTTGTCACGAGCAGCATCGAGAGTTATTGAGCCAATAGCAGCCTAAAAACATTCATAAATGAAATTGGATTCATATGTTTACCATTGGCCCGATAGCAATTGAGTATGTGTTACAAGGCAGCTATTATAGTCTTTGTTTTACCTGAACTGTGGCTTTGGGGATCCAGGATAACATCAAGAATATCTTTTCTTTCCGTGTGAAGTTATTACGAGAGACAACAAAATACACCATCAATAATCTGGGAATCATTCCCACCACTAAAATTGCAATACCACGCCCTAAACACACAATAGATAATCTCTGGATGATGTCATGTTTATATATTTTGCAAAGCGTTTGATTGAACATGCTTACCAATGAGTCTGCTCTCCATATATTCGACATTCACTTCTGCTCCAATCAGTGCAAACAGTAAAGGCATGAAAAAGTCCCAAACTACTGACATAGCTTCACCAATTTGTTTCTGTGAAAAACAGAATTATACCAGTTTAGAAATGATAGAACTATATCCAGTATAAAGTTACAGTAGTTAGTTTAGGTTTCCTTGTGTGGTAACACTGAATCAATAAGTGATGATCCTTGCTGCTGGTTCTCTAGGGAGAACAGTTTAGAACTGATAGAGCTATCCAATATAAATAAAGTCAAATCAGCTGTATCCAGATGGCATTCTGTGTACCCCATGCTGTGCTGTGAAATTACTCAAAGTTGTTGGAGTATTGGTGTGAGATAACTTTACAATGGTCTTAAAAGCACACAATTAAGATTGTCTCTGTTCACATGGGTTTTAGTCCACACTTACCTTATCTGACTCTGACCAGCCAAGGCCAGCCACAAATGACAAAACCAAGGAGCCCAGAGCTCCAGCACCTGAGAAGTTGGCTCGTCTTAAGCCGAACAATGAGAGGAGACCCAGACTGGATAGGAGGACAAATCTGTTCTTTTGGGGTGCACTGTTCTGTAGTGGAATAATGTGTAGGATCAGTAGTAATGGTGATAGGTGATAATGGTATAGTCATTGATGGTCATTACATAGTGATGGTCATTACATAGTGATGGTCATTACATAGTGATGGTCATTACATAGTGATGGTCATTACATAGTGATGGTCATTACATAGTGATGGTCATTACATAGTGATGGTCATTACATAGTGATGGTCATTACATAGTGATGGTCATTACATAGTGATGGTCATTACATAGTGATGGTGGTAACATGATGGTGAAACTTACCTTATGTTTACAAGGCAAAATCCAGAGTAATGGACCAATAATAAGTCCAATTGCTATTCCCAAAACAATTTCAATTGGTCCTCTGAATATATTATATGCTAATTTACCTAAAAACACAATTAGGCACTGCATGAGCCATATAATTATAACAGGCTACCCATTGGATCAGCACTCAAACATTGAAGTGTCCTTAATCTTTTGTGATAGTTACGACAAACCACAGCACATTATTGTCCAATACTAACCAACAGAAGGCTCAAGATTCAAAGAGATTCAACTACCTGAATATACAAGTATAAACTTTGGCGTTTCATTGAAGGTAAATGAAACAACGGCCCTTCATTGTGGTGTTACGGTCACTCACTACACTGGCACAAACTGTTTGAGTTAGTGCTACCAACACTGGTCATCTCATTTGTGATATCAACATGCAAAAATCAAATATTGGACTAAAATCTTTCATTTACCCTCGGAAAATGCTAGTCCAAGGAACACCCCAACAAGACTGATAGCAAATACATTCTCAAGCGATGCAGAGGCCACACCAAGTGTTGGTATGCCTTGATCAACACCATATCCTTTCTCTTGCAGTTCCAGAAGAGATGGCACCACAACTGCTGGTGATACTGCAGCAATTAAGAACCTAGGACAGCAGGAATATTAAACACCAGGTAGATCAATCTGACAGCCAGATTTGCTTCACGGGTAGCTTTCAGAAAAGTGCTACCAGACAGCAAATGATGGTCATTAATTAATAACCCATTAATGCATAAGATTCTCCCCATGATGGGTAAAATTGTCTGGTGTGAAAAGTGTAAAATAATTTAAAATAGATGCATCAAGCACATTGGGTCATTCCAGAAAAGATCCATACCCCCATCACAGAATACTACACAGAAGTCCATTGCTTTTTGCATAAGTGCTATTCGTCATGATTCGTCACTCAGCAAGTACCGTAAACAGAAGCAGTCCCCCCTGGAAATACTCAAAATGGTGCACGTCCAGGGGGGTGACTGCTTCTGTTTACGGTACTTGCTGAGTGACGAATCATGACGAATAGTGCTTACGTAAAAAGCAATGGAGATGGACTTCTGTGTAGTATTCTGTGCCCCCATGGAGAAAATTTCTGCTGTCTGGAAGAGGGCAGAAAAATGTATTCATGATAATATAGAAGGTGTATTATGACATCTGCAGGGGGTAGGTAATTAACTTTCAATTTCCTCTGTGGGGGAGGTATGGATGTTTTCTGGAAAGACCCATTGCAACTTAATGGGTTAATAACAGGAAGCAAATTAAACTACACCTCTCATTTATTTGCTACAAAATCCAATAACACTACACATATAAATGAAAATAATTGATATTATTTTCTCTGGTAATTATCGGTCAGACGTACCCTAACTGGAAACTCCAGAGGAATCCCATATCAAGCAATAGGTGACCCATGATCGCAACTGCAATCGCTTCAGAAATACACGGCAACAGAGCCAGTCGACTGATCGTCCACTTTGCGTTCTTGAGGGCATTTTGATCAAGTCCGAGACCTGACCTTAACAATATCACAACCAATGCGACATTTCTTATGGTCAACGACCAATCGTTGTCAATATCTTTTGCGACATCTATACCATCAACATTCTTCAAAACAAATCCTGTGATTAACATCCCCAAAAGACTCGGGAGTCTTAACCATGGGATCACACGCACAAGAAACCCGGCTAAAGCCGCAACCGCCAGCAAAATAGACAAGCCATATATGTTCCCGCCCGGCAAAGCATCTCGGCCAACAATCGACCACACTGTCGCCCATAGCACAAAACCAACTAAGACACGAGTCGCCCATCTGCCAACATAGGGCGGTATTTTCCAATTTTTGGTCACAGAAAGACAATGTTGGTCACAACTAGTTGAAGTGATTTGCGTTTTATCATCACTGTCCATACTTGAGCGCTTTAAAGATAGTTGTTATACTTGTAAAACGACAACAGACCTTTAAAGGACATATAGTATTTTCCCGATTGTTCTTTTGGCTTCAGTCAACACCCAAATCACCTAAATATGTAAATTTACACGTCAATATTATCTATCAAATTTTTGGAATCTGCTCGAGTTTTCGACAATTTTCCGGCGCTTATTTCCGTTGATCGTGGATTTATGTACATCTGAATAGAATATACAGTAATTTTATCCCAAAACTGTTCAATTGTACTCGATTAGCCCGTGTAGAAAGCAAATATAGTATTTATAATTTACGATTTGTTTACGTTTTAAATTTATCAAAACAATCTGCATGTCGCATAATGGCCGTGTGCTAATTAGTATGCAAGAGAACTGGTACGAGATGTGCAGAAAATTCCAGGCTGTCGTGGGCTGCTCATCCTTAAAATTGTCAGGCAACCTTTCTTCCAGAACCAATAAATCAATAATCCGGCTAATATCCCCGTCGTTTCTCTGCAAATTTTCTTTGATTTTACGATGGCTACGGCACAAAGCGACTGCTGCGAATGGAGCAAATACATTCCCTGGGTGAGCACAGCATTGCTTGGTGTGTATGTGATTTATCAATTTGTTAAAAAAGACAAATGTTGTGACTGGGTGAACAAGGACGTGCAGAAAGATCAACCTAAAGTCGCCACATCGGTGGACATTGAGGACCTGGGAGAAAAGACATCATTTTGTCGTTGTTGGCGAACTAAAAAGGTTTGTATTGATGTTGTTGTCTCGTGTTTCTGGATATTAATAGCTTATTATTGTGGGTATTACATATAAGGTTAATTATTAACTAGTTCAATATACACCTTCCGGAATCTACGTCATTTCGGCTATGAGAGGCATTACCCCCCTTGATGTCCGCCATTTTGAATATTTTCAGGGGGGTGAATGTCTCTAACACACACTGGTGTCAGCATTTTGATGACGAATTACGCTTACACCAAAATCATTGGAAAAACCAAGGATAGACCTCCTTATCTGTGGTCTATTCTTGGTTTTTGGAAAAAACAAGAATAGACCTCATTATCTGTGGTCTATTTCTTGGTTTTTCCAAATCTCGTACCCAGAGCAATGCCTGTGCGCGGGCTAGGATGGCATTGGCTCTGGGGAAATTGAATTTTTCCTGTGCTATGATTGGTTTAACGTTTATCAATCGTGCATGCCGACAAAGAACTGGAATCCCTAAATTTAGGGGTTCCGAATTTAGGGGTTCCGATTGTCAATTTCCCCAGAGCCAATGCCATCCTAGCCCGCGCACAGGCTTTGCTCTGGGTACGAGATTGGGTTTTTCCTCGTTGTCATACTCGCTATAGCATCTGATAGCTATGTTTTCATTTATAAACCATTGTGTAATATCATGACTGGGTAATTAAACCAACACACTGCTATTCAAATGGCGAAAAAACAATACACAGTTGTAAGTTCTTTGTATGATTGCATGGTGATAAAATATATAATAGTTTTGTTTGTGGAAACACCACATAAATTTATTACTGCAAAGCTTTCGATCCATAAGCCCGAATCTTCATCAGTGCTGATAATATGATTATTAGCACTGATGAAGATCCGGGCTTACGGATCGAAAGCTTTGCAGTAATAAATTTATGTGGTGTTTCCACAAACAAAACTATTATAATACACAGTTGACGATGAACAGACCATTTCTTACATAAACCAAGACAAAGATGAGCTAGGTCTATTATCATTTGTCTGTATCGAGTTCCATAACCTTATTCTATAGACTATATTATTTGCCTAAATTATGTATCAATGACAAACATGAGGCTCTGTAGCCAAAGTGACATACTTTCCGGAAGAGTGTATTCTCGGATCCGACTAGGCAATTCCAGCTTTTCATTTATGTGTTGGCAGGGAGATACGGGAAGTAAGGTATCATATTGCTGATTATGCTGAAAAATTTCAATATTTACAAGACTAGTATAAGCTATCACTCTGTGTTTACATGGCCACCATTTTTAGTTTTTTAGCATAATCAGCAATATGATACCTTACTTCCCATCTCCCCTGCACGCATAAACTAAAAGCTGGAATTGCCAATTGACGCCACCAATTTTTCATTTCACTATCTAGAGATCTTTGCCAAAATTAGACCTCACAATTGAAATATTCACACTCAATCTAGCCTGGTAGAGTAAAATAATAAAGTAGGGGACATGGTTAAATTAATATTATAAAAATCCTAACTTGAATTTCTCTCTGGGGCAGTTGCCGCCCCCCTCCCTGTTGTGTACTGCCAAAAGTAGGCAAATGGACCTTTCCCCTTATGACTAAAATTTTGATCTAGACAAAAATTTCATCACAGCTTGAAAGAGCATCACAAAATTAGTAATATTCCAAAGTTTAGTTGCAAAATGTTGTAAAATGCGGATAATATAGCCATGCAAAATTTGCCGTTTTTCAGTCATTTTGTATTACGCGGGGGAATTTGACAGCCCAATCGGGTGTTGTGGCATCAATTGTAATACAAAATGACTGAAAATTGTAAATTTCGCAGGGCTGTATTATCCGCATTTTACAACATTTTGCAATGAAACTTCAGAATATTACTAATTTTGTGATGCTCTTTCAAGCTGTGATGAAATTTTTGTCTAGATCAAAATTTTAGTTATAAGGGGAAAGGTCCATTGGTGAGGTCTGGTAAGGTGTATGTTCCTTCCTATTATTTCTAGTGGCCGTACTGTGACGGAAGCCACAAAGGACACAACAAGTGTACTGGGGATAATGTTGGACCTCTCGTTATCAAGAAAGAAACAAAGTGAATTAAGTTGGATGAACAAATTAAATATCTGCCATAGGCGAGAGATAGGTAACAAATGAATGACTGTACTTCAACTTACTATCAAAATTTTTCATGAACATCATAGATCGTGCTGCATGTGTGAAATAGTTATTTTTCTAATATACGAGTGTGTGCCTGTATTTTGTTTTAATCGTGCTTACTTTTAACATTGTTAGTGTGTTGTCAATTAATTAACCTTGATATAATTTGTTATATGGTTTGAGCACTGTTATATGCAACGTCCAGTTTAGGTAGTATTCTGCCATAAGCTGTCATGTTTTGTGTCAGAGTCGGTGGCATGGGTGTGGCCAGGAGTGGGTGCGGCCAGAGTTGTCAGTTTATTTCCTATTTACTTGAAATGTGGTTTATGTCTGAACTACCTGAAAAAGATATCTCAAACATGGTGGTCCAGTGTAGGTAGTATTGTACAATAAGCTGCCATGGTTTGTCTCTGAACTACCTGAAAAAGATATCTCAAACGTGGTGGTTCAGTGTAGGTAGTATTCTACAACAAGCTGTCATAGTTTCTGTCTGAACTACCTGAAAAGACTTTCTCCACATTATCAAATGAAACAAATTTGAAACACACTAAAACAACAACACTTTAGGGCCTGTTCATATGATCCCGCTTACCGGGACGTCTCGCTTACCGAGACGAATATTTCCGTGCGTTCATATGGAGTATTTCGTCCCGCTTGCCGAGATGAAATTACATTGTAGTTCTATAATTAGCGTATGCAAAACTTCTACATTTCAGTCAAGCAACACAAATACTTGGCGATTTTAGTGTTTTTCTTCGTTTATTTACAAGAAAAAGTATTGCTTCAGGTGGTTATTTAAT